CAAAAGTTCGTAGAACGATGTTTAAATTTTTATAAAATACTTAACATCGAAAGATTTATTGCATGAATACTTAGTAAAATGTCTCGTCTATAATTCTAACAGTCTTTTAGATAAAGTCTATAGCACAATAGATATACGAACATTCCTTGTCCAGGATTCGAGTATATTTCTAAATTTTGCATTTTTTCTTTCCTGCCTCATATGATATTTTCTGACGTCATATGCACTTAAATATTACATGTAACAGTATATGTTGAGTGCAAAACCATTTATTGAGTTAGTTCATTCGATTCGCTTACTTGTTTCGTGTGAATAAATCCGCATTTCCTTTGTATCAAATATCAAAGTCATCCTGAACCTGTGACAAAATCTGATTTGAATTTCTTTTAAATCATTAAAATGACCGATGAATTTAATCGATATTATATTAAAATTCGGACAATTCTGGAAAAATAGATGCCAAGACAATTTGCGAAAAACTTACAACAGCATTGGGACCTGATGCTCCAGCATATTCAGCTGTTGCAAAATGAGCGAAACGTTTCGTGAAGGGAGAGGGATGTCAATGATGACTGTTGATCTGGTCGTCCGATTTCGGTACTTACAGATGAAAATATCGAATAAGTTAGACAAGTTATCGAAGATGATCCGCATTTAACCCATGATGATATCATAGCCGAGACTTCCCCCTGTCATGGTACAATAGAACGGATCATTCATGAATGTTTAAAGATGAGAAAAGTTACATCACCTTGGATTACACACAAACTCAGTGAAGACCAAAAGCAACAACGGCTTAGAGTTTGTCGTCAAAATCTAGCAAAATTTCAGACTGGGAAATGGAGATTATCTGATGTCATTACTGGTGATGAGACATGGATTTATCATAGACAGATTGGTGGAAAGTCAAGTAATGCTACATGGGTTAGCGAAAATGAACCACCAAGGACCATTGTCCGTCGAAATAGATCTGAGCCCAAAACATTGTTTTGTTTATTCTTTAAATCAAATGGTCCTGTTCTTATACACAAAGTTGATAATGGCACGACTATCGATCACAACTATTACATTGAAAATTGTCTCAAACCTGTTATTAAAAATACGAAAACAAGAAAAATCATCACGCACAAAATGCGTCAAATTGCTTCACGATAATGGTCGTCCTCATATTCATCGGGATGTTATTGACTATTTAATAGAAGAAGGTATTGAAATAATACCACGTCCACCATACTCACCTGATCTTGCATCCTGTGACTTTTGGCTCAATGATTACATCAAGATTAACTTGGCTGACCAAGGAAACGAAGGATCACTAGCTCGGGCGGTTTGCAAGATAGTGAACAATATAACAACAGAAAAAGGATTTAAAAAAAACTTTTGACAAACTATTAGAAAGAATGGAACTTTGTTATAAACAATAATGGTGACTATTTTGAACATTTAATAAATTAAAGCTAAACATAAATCTTTCTTTATATATTTTTATTTGATGTTTTGAAAACCTTTGGTAAATCCTATATATATTTGAATCCTGAACAAGGAATGTTCACATGTTTNTTGCATTATAAGCTCTATCTAAAAGACTGTTAGAATTATAGACGAGACATTTTACTAAGTATTCATGCAATAAATCTTTCGATGTTAAGTATTTTATAAAAATTTAAACTTCGTTCTACGAACTTTTGGTCAGCTCTAAGTAATATTTAATAATCGTCTTTCAAAAACATTCATTCTTCATATTCCCAAAATTTACGCTAAGCGTTGGCTGTCGTCTTGTTTCATTAAGCGAAAGTCGTTCTAAAAACACTATCGCAAAATCGACTTTTTTTTATGCGCTGAACCAATTCTGTTCAGCGTATAAAAAGTCGATTTTGCGATTAATGGTTAGAGATAGAAAAGGAAAAGTAGACATTTACCTAGCACCCATGGGAACCGACATTTCGACCTCGTCAAAGATCAACAAGGTATTATATATTTATTGAGCATTAAAATGAGGCCTATACATATTAAATCATGATAAGAACGCTCCGCCAAAATGCATGAAGAAATTTAGCAGATGATTGACTCTTACAAATATCCGTTTATCCTCTTGTGATGTTTATGATTTGTTTTTATGTTGATTCAACGTTTACTGTAAAGGCAAATGCTGCCTCCAATGGTATCAAAAGGTGTTACTGTATTTGGTAAAACTCTTAGACCTGATAGATTTTGACCATTTCGTTGAGCGACACCAAAAGTTGACATTTCATTTTGAACTGTATCAAATACAACACTTGCAGTTTCTCCATTAGCAACGTCTTCATACATTTGACCTGCATTTTCACAATAATTAATTATTGTAGCGATTGGGAATAGCTTCTTTGCTGTAATATCTTGACTAGTTCCAGCGCATACCACTGCTATAACCAGTCCAGGTATAGCAGCTAAGTCAGCTGTAGTCGTTGAATTGGTCAGTGGAATATTACCCGGCGTTGATAAAGGACCTGCTAAGGCTATATATTCATCCTTACGAATGAATGAACATGTGGCGGCTAATTGTGCTACTCGAGCTGGACGAAAAAACCAACTCGGGTCACTAATTTCAGCTTGATTATTATTTATTATTAGCTCAATTTGATCGAACGTACCATCACCTCCAGAAAAAATAAACGTTGGTTGAACGACAACATTTAAGATCTGACTTAGTTCATATCCCAAAAATGTATAAAAATCAAACAGATATCCAGCAGTTATTTGTTGTGTTGTACCATTGTAAAAGAAATCACTAGAATTTCTATTGTTGTCTGAATCAACAAGACACGGTGGTCCACAATTGCTATCTGGTGTACCAGCTATAATAACTCGAAATATACCAGTTGATAATATACGGGCTAAAGCCGAATTCTGCGTAACACCAAATTCATGTATTTCTTCCGGCTTGATCGGATTACGTCGGCATTCATTTGGGTCTGATGCTGCAGGTATACTACCCTCCCAAAATAAATTAATGTCACTCAATAATCCATTTGCTAATAAACGAGATAAAGCTATGCTGACTGCATCATTCCATAAAAGATTGCCATCTAATTGTCTGTTGTAAACACTGGCCGATGATGAACTACAACATTGATAACACGGTTTTTTCTTATCTTTTAAAGATGAGAAAAAATCGTTTCTTCTAATATGAGAAATAGGTAAAACTGAATTTAGACATACGCATATCAATAACAAAATAGATACAAGTATCCAATTCATCTTTTAGATTTTTTGTGTAATAATTCTGGCAATCTCGCTTATATACATACGTTCTCCATTATTTGTGCAAAATCAAACAACATTATTCGATGTACTTTCCATTTGGCACATATTGCGCCAAATTCAGTGCATGTGTGGTGCCTATTAACTAACGATTAGATTCAATTTTTAAAGTAAATAACTGTTGCAATATTGTAAATCCACATTTAATATTCATGATTTTGCATTTTACTATTTTTGTATAATAGCATAAACTATAAAAGCAAGTCAAGAAGCCTAGTGCACTAAGGTTTTGCAGTTTTAAAAGAATCCACTTCCTGGCTCTTGTGTGTTGGAAGCATAATCCACGTAAACTGCATAAGTCAAGAGGTCAAGACGTCATGCTGGTATCTTATCTTAGTTATTTCTCCGCAATAAATTATGCCACTACGCAATGAACCTTAAATGACTAAGCTATCAGTTCTGGAAGAAAAAGTCGTTCCTTTATATTTAACGTCATCAGCAAAAAAAATGGAGCTAGAATCGGGCGGTTGGAGCTAGGTAACACGGTTTTCGACCCGGTTAAGCTAGCTCCACCTTAAAAAGTCTAACCTAGGATCGGGCGGTTGGGGAGGTTATCAACTAGGTTAACCGCTCACTTAACCGACCGAGCGAACTAGCTCTATCCGATCTAGCTCCAACCGCGCAATTAATCGACCGATTCAGCTAGTTCTAAACATGAAATACATTAGATACAGGGAGATTATCAACTAGGTTAATCTATCGGTGAACCGGACGGTTGGAGTATCCGGTTCGTCCGGTTAACCGGATACTCTAACCTAACTTAAAAAATAAGAAAAAAGACTTTAAAAATGTGGCGATACATTTCACGGCATATGTGAAAGGATGAGTCGTGATTTTCGCAGAAAAATGTAATAACAAAGACAGACACTATACTCGATAACAGGCTACTTGAGTTTGTGGCACCTTTTTTACATGTCAAACACGATGTAACTAGGACAAAGAAAAGGATTGCAAAGTGCGGGAGAGATTAGGCATGATTTTCTTGTAACAAGTACCTGAGATAAGCGCGTATTTTTAATTAATCGTTATGTAAACAAAATTAGCTAAGGAAACCACTGTCTTTCATGGTTGATCTCAAAAGTCTCTAGTTGTTAATTCAGGATGGAAACACTGTAGCAGAACATGATTTGCCTTTACATTTAAAATATTTTAGTTTCGAATGCTATAATTTTTCCTGATGTATTCTAAAAGAATAAAACTTATATCAGGCCTCTAGCATTCAGATACACATATATCTCATCGTATATGTCGACTGACATTTGCTTCACATTTATCACGTTTTCTTTCTCTACAGAAGAAAAAGAGGAACGAGAAGTTATAGTCTCGCATTATTGTTCTTCCATTAACAAAATGGCGGAACAGAAAGAAAAAGAAAATAAGTTTAGCCTGGTATATTTGAATACATAGGAAAGTATTCTAAAAGTGTAAACATAACTTGTTCAGCTTGACGAAGTCAATCAGATCAATATCAAATCAATAAAAACGTTTTGAAATCTACGATATGGAGAAAATACTATTCATCTAAAGTTTTTTCAAGTGTCTCTGATTAATAATGAAAGAGCCTGAATGGAATTAGGCCAAGGTCAAAATTCTTTTCTATTTCATAGTTTTATTTTCAGAACGGTTATTACGTCTTTTTAAAAATATTATATAATAAAACTAATAAAATATAATAAACTATGCTTTCGGATTTGTGGCGTATTCTAGTTTTTTAGAAACTTTAAAAAATAACCAAAACCTTTTCTTAATGCTGCATGATTGTAGTCCGCACATTTTTGATTAAAATAAGACGTCCCCCAGCTCTACACGACCTTTCTTTACAAAGTTATAGAATTTACCAGAAGCCATAAATATTCATTGTCAGCTCAAAGCTACAGAAATAAGAAGAAATTAATT